AGAGGAATGGAAACTGAATAGGATAGGAACTCCTGAAGGAGGCAAAAACAGATTCTACCTAGCAGGAAGAATGTGAATAGAACTGGAAATGAGGAGAAATCTGGACAGGAGCTGGGACAGAGAGGGAGAAAGGCAGGAACATTGGGAGACATGTTGGGGCTGGAAGTGGGAGGCTTGCAATAGGAGAGGTCAGGGAGGAAAAGTGTAGTATTTAAATTTGTCTACAGATTTGGCACTGAACCAGAGTACAGAGGTTAGTACAAATAGGAGAGTGTATTGTAATTGGTCTAGAGATCTTAGACCTGGAACTGACCTATCTGTGGAGTCAGGATGATTTCACAACTTAGTTTTTTTTTCTCCATTTTTAAACTTGAAAACTATGTCTAAAATATCTGCTTAAGAGCTTTAGGGAGGGTATAGTATATAATAAGTTTGCAAAGTTAGAAAGGGTTGATGCTGAGTTTTGTATGATCTTCATAGGACTTCCTTTGGAAGATGTATGTATTATGATGTAGTCTTTACTCACCGTGGCATTCTTTTCTATGAACAAGCTTAATACTAGGATTTGATACTTCTTGAATGCTTAACTTCATAAATGTAGTTATCTTCTAATGTACTGTATTGTTCTTTTGTATGCAGTTTTGAAGAATACTTCTGGACATCTCAGTTTTTGTGTATGGGATAGTTGATGATGAAAGAGACATAGTCTATTTCTGTTAGGTAAAAATAGATTAGATTGCTATCTCAGTCCTTACAGGATGCTTACAAGAATTTGATAATGTTGTTATGTAAATCTCGCTTCATACGCATATATGACAGCAGTCTCTGAATAGCACTGTCCCTTAGTCTGAGCTGCGCTGGTTGTGTTTTCTATTTCTCCATTCAAAAACCAGCTGGATGCTTCACCACTCTCACTATGTGTAGCAGTAAGGCACACAAATATATATGTGTTTATATATGTATGTGTGTGTATAAGTATATATTTTATATTTCTCTGTTCAAGTTTGTATCTCCTTTTTTTAAGAAGAGTTTTGTTTATATTGTATTTATGTAATTTTTATTACAGCCTTGAAATGTGTCACTTGCCTATTCAGGTGGCTGAGCCTTTATAATAAATCAAGAGGGGAAAAAAGAGTAATTATAATAGTTGTAAAGTAATAAAAATAAAATCAGTAACAGGAAATATTTATTAGAATTGTAAAAATCATTTATTAATAATTGCTTATTCTGTCCAGTACAATCAGTATCAAAATGACTTGATAAGTTACTATAGGTACCTTCCTTAAACTAGGCTGTTCTTAGTCCTGCCTTGCCCTTTTACAGTATTGTTAGTCATATTTCACTTAACGTTCGTTTCTGAGCTAACAAAGGTTGATGTGTTATATGCCAGACCCTAAATGAGCCTACTACCAATCTGTGTTATATTAGCACAGTTTCTTCAGAGAAAGAGAATATTTGGAGGGGTGTTCTTTTCTTCATAATATGAAGAAAATAGGTATACGTATGCTTATGAACATACATGAAAGTCCATTTTGTGATGATTTTACAATGAAATCCTTCAGTTTATACTCACTGCATGATGGTTTCTAAAAGTTATTTACATCTCTATCCACCAACTGCAAAAATAAACTCATCTTTGATAGAAGAATCTTAAAACCATCCTTACAAACCAAACAGAACTTATATTCTGAATATTCTCTTATACTTTACTCTAAAAATACTCTTTGCTCTAAAAATAACTTTTTGGATAACATTTAGATAATTCTAAAATAACCTTTTTGATAAACAACCTTTTTGATAACTGTTATGTCAGTCTCATTTAGCAAACTTCAGACTGTCTATAGTGATCATCTTAATGGCACAGAAATATGATGAAGTTGGGGCCTCGTTCGAATTGTGTTCTGGCAGATTTTTGTTTCATTGGCTCAATCTGTAGTTCAAATTTTCTAAAATTCATTGATGCGATGAAATTCCTTATACCTACATTTCACCATTTTTTGTCATAATAGTAGTATTATGGTGGTGGTTTTATTTTGTTTTTCCCTAGAGATTATCCAGGTAAATTGAGGAATGTGTTTGCCTTTGTGTTACATGAGTGTATGTGTGCGCATACATACACACCCTTATGCTGTAGCCAGAAGTAGTAGCCAAGAAGCCAGAGGCAGTCCTGTGATCGCTGGTCTAGTAACAGCAAATATGACAAAGAAACTCTGAACACTGCTACATTGAAGGAGTTACTAGAGAGGTGAAAAGAAAACTGACTTGGTTAACAACAATTTTTCCTGTACCAATTCCAGGAGAGTGGCAAATGTCATTAAAGAAAGTGTAGGTTCCCATATTACAAGCAAACACGAATGTAATTATGTGTTGCCAAGAGGGCATACAAAACATACAAAAAAGTAGTCAGGGACTGCACGGTAACTGTGTTTGTTTCGAAAATCATTGCTGGTGTAACACGTAAGAAGAATGATCTTCATAACATCGCCAGTTTAACATGAAACATGCATATGTAAGCTACATAATACCAAAATTTCTGAAGGTACTGTACTGTTCATGGTTGTATTGATAAGCATGCTCTGGAAGCACACAGCTCATTGAGTAGACTTACAGAATCAACAGAGGAGTATGGACACGTTATCTCTACTTATGCATGTTTGCAGTGTGTAAGCTCTGTACAGAACAGATCATTAAACCTCAGACCACTTGAAGTTCTGAAGCAGTCTATGGAAAGACAAAGTCATTTATTTTCTGTAGAGGTACAAGACATGAATTTTTTATTGCTAGTCAATAAATTTGATTTCTAGATAAATTTCATTATGTATTGCACTGTACATCAGATGGCTGGATGACATGCATTTTTATGAAGACTTGCTTATTTTGCAACAGAACAGTCTTCCCAGGACACTGTAGCAATGTGAATGGCAGAACAGGTTTACTGTCATGTCTGCAGCCTATCACGTACAAAGTATGGAGAATGTTACAGCACTGAAGCTGGTTTGTGTGATGAAGTGAAAATAGAAACATACAGTCAGGGAGCAATGAAGAAATGCTTGAAGCATCAGCGTTTGCAAAGCAGCCTCAAGCAGCGCAGAATTGACAGCAGTAGTTGATCCTAGATAGATACGTGGCATTTAGCAGTTTGAGTGCAATATCTCAGTTTGAGAAGAAATGTCATGCTAATATTGAAGAAAAAAAGATTATTTTGACGGGAGCAACGTTGTTATGTTTTTGCAGTAGGTAGAGCTTCCGATCTCTACTCACGCAGCCTGTATGGGAAGAATCTGTTGTTCATGCATTGGCCCACATTGCATTATTTACTCATACACAAATGTCTACAGAGTGACTATGAAGGAGATAATAATGACATCTTTTTGTTCCATTCAGGTTAATTCCAGTGAAAATTGCTTCCTCTTTGTGCCTTAGAAACATTCCTGCATCTGAAATCCTCAGGGAAAATATTTGGAGTAATCCCCTTGTTTTGATTAAACACTATCAATCCTACTTAATAAAGATCGAATGCTAAATGTTTGTTTATGTTCTGCATCTCCAGCTTCATTAGATGTCTGCTCATTCATATATTGGAAAACACAGTGAATAATTAATTCCTAGTCTCGTTCTCCTTGCTGCTCATGATGGTACAGGCCTCTATCATTTCTCCCTTTTTCCTAGGCCATCTCTTTTCCAAGCTGTAGAGTCCTAGCTTGTTTAAGTAATTTCTTCCACACAATGCCACTGTGTAATTGCATGATGTTGCCAGTTGTCAAAGGTAATCCTCATTACCATTTTCTGACCCTTTGCCAGATCTGTTATTTCTTTTTGAGGTGAGGTACTAGCACTGTACTCAGCATTCAGTATACAAGCAACATCATGGAACTGTGAAGCAACACATTGATTTTTGTTTTCTCTATTCCTTTCATAGTAGTTCCTCAGAAGTTGCTTTTGGCCATTGTTGAAAACTGAACTGATTTTTTCATGCACTTAATATAATCCCAAGATCACATTGCTTGAGTGATAATGGTCAGCGAGGAGCTCATCATTTTATGTATATAGTTAGTATATTTGTTCTACCTGTGATTTACTTTACATTTATCTACTTCGAATTTCATATGTCATTTGATGCTCACTTTCATAAAGTTCTACTGGTCTTCACATCAGCCTTGTGGTTAGTCGAGTAATTTCGTATTCCATCAGCAAACTTTCAGCCCTCTTTTTTGAGATGGCCTGTAAATATAAGGAGCAGAACAGCTGGAATCCACTTATAAGTGGAGCATTGTTAATCTATCACCTATCTATCACCTTGTAGCTATATACTCAAGAATATGCGTATAGTAATCAAGTGTTTTATGAATATGAATCATACTTCATTTCTGCTTTTTGAGAGTCCTCATACCTATAGTTCTAAATGATTATGGGAATTAAAAAAACATGGTGGTCTGATATTTCTTTATATCTTTGGGTATGGGAAAAAGCAGTGTAGGGATATCTCTAGCATCTCAAAAGAGATATGTAAACTGGATACCACTGAGGTCTAATACCACTTTTCCCTGCCATGTACAACAACTGCTAGTGATGACAGGAGACCACGATCTCCTTAATATTTCCCAGTGAATCTTCTCCGTGTCCTCCAAAAGACGTCAGTGTTGTACATATGCAATGTATGCATTTGTGTATGCAGAATAGAATTCCTATTCATGTAGCAATTTTTAAAAATAAGATACACTGTAAGGTCATTTTGATTTGATTGTGTTAACCACATGCTCAGCAAAGCCAGGGACTTCATTTTCCACTCTTCTCTGCTTTATTGTCATTATAGCATTAAATTTTCCGAACGATGTTTCCAAATATAGACAACAAGAGTTACATACACTAATACATATTAAACTCTTAAAAATACTATATTAATTTCTGAACCTATAGTGAACAGAACTAATGTATGTGATGTACATGTATTCTAAGTCTATTTATTTTTGAATCATCCCTCTTTTTTTTTTTTTTTTTAGATTTAGACAAATGCAACTTGGCACAGAAAGCAAAGTAGCTGAACTTCTTCACCAGAGTAAGTTAAAGTCCTTTGAAAGTGAACATGTTCAACTCATGCAACAAGAAACAGCTAAGAATCTTTCACAGTGCCAGATAGAATGTGAGAAATATCAGAGAAAGCTGGAGGTACGTTATAAAGAGACACTTTACAGGGTATTTGTAGTCCTTTTCAGTTAAAGCTTAAAATGAAAAGCTTGGAGAAAAAGCAGCAAAGAACAAAAATGGTTGAGATAGTGTTTCCACCAAGTTCTACAGAAGCAGAATCTGATGACCAAATTTATTGAGCTTGACCAATTCAATGGGAAAAAAAGATTCAGGGGAGAGGAAGAAGATTTAAAAATATCGCATAGAGAGAGTTTGAAGCCCTGCGCCTAAGTTATCCTTCATGTAAGTTATCCTTCACAAATAAATTTCTCTAAATTTCAAACATTACCATTTAGCTACCTTACTTGTAAAGAACTAGTCACTCATGTAAGACATCTCTCCCGTGGGCTGCAGAAGTGCCTCATTCCCGTGAGGTATTCGTCAAAAGAAACTGAAAGTTTTTAACATAACCCATTTTTGTTCTTGGAGAGCATGTTTAAGAATTAAAGAATTAAATTGTTTCCTATGAGAATTTTAAAGGAGTTATTTTTTCTTCTTTCTACAGACAAATAGTTCCACTGACATATGTAGTAATAGTGCAGGCTCTTTCTATTTTTCTTCAAGAATCCCTGCTGCCTGAAACCGACGCTTATGCCACAGTTGTTCCCTCATTCTGGGCACTTACAGATAGTCTCTTTAGCTGCCTGTGTGTTTTCATAGAACTTACAACCTCAAATACTATGTAAAATATATTTGAAATTGCTACCACGAGCAGAAGTTATCAGGGAGGCACGTGTGCTCACACGCTATGAGAGCGTATATTTCTTCTTCTCATGGGAACCCAGACTAAAAGAAGAGTGATTAAATGGGGTAGAAGACAACCAAAAGTATGAGTTCTGTATTTGATACAGCAAAAGAATATCTGAAAAGGCAGAATGATGGCTTGATGTGTTAATTCCATTCTGGGGAATGGGAAGAAGACTATGTATGTTACCTGTTTGTTCTAATCTTTAGTAGAAAATATGTTAAACATGAACATTTTCAAAATTATGATACATTACTTTAGGAAAATTATTTCACAAAAGAGAGCGGTCCATGTAATAGTTATATGTATATATTTCTAATAATAAATCATTACAATCATTTTAGAAAATTAGACTAAAATCTTAGCTATATAAATTGAATAATAGATAGTAATTTTTCAGAAACTAACAAGACATTCATCTAGAATGTAAAATAAAAATGAAATGTACTAATTCGTAGTCTTTGTATATGTCGAGATAGTACTATGGGATGAAATCTCATTGTTACAATATAGCGTAATCTCTGTGATTAATAGTGTTTATTGTGCAACTTTGCCAATAAACTCTTTCTATTCTCTAACCTAGTTCTGCTAGAACTACTTATCAACTTTAGGGGAATTTCACTTCAGGAAGCATAATAGAAAATGTATTGGGGAGTATTTCATTTTTTTTATTTAAAATGTATACTTCAGCTACAAAATCAGCAATAAACAACACTTTTTTAGAGCAAATATCCATTTGGTGAATTTATCTTGAAAATATACTGGTAGAATATAAACTTCTAAAATTTTTCTTACATTATTTAATTACATTAAAATATATCAAACTGGCTTAGTAGAATTTGACATATCTGTGCTTGTGTTATCAGCCTATTACCAGAAAATGAAAATTCAGACCCTTTTATAGGACATAGCATCCGGTAGAATCCAACATATCATGCTTAGAAGATGCTGACATTTGATCTCTGACATATCCTTTTGAATCTATTTAAAAAGTTACTGCTTACTGTTTACTGTCTAAGAGTTCGAAGAGTAGAATGTATGTTTCCACGTTAGTATGAAGTCTGCTACCTTAACAGCAGTACTGGTAAAACTAAGTTTTAGAAAGCAATTTGAAAAATAGTACCAGTATAATTACAGATCGGTTTATGCAACGTTTCCAAAATAGCCTGTTGTAATGCAATACCTATGCAACATAGTTGGTGATTTGAAGTTATTTAATAGTATTGTCACTTAGTGTAATATATTTATGCATTGTTGCAGAACAACAAAGAGAGCTAACAAATTTATTCAGGTATGATACTAAGAAAATTTTGTATACCTCAAAAAATAGTAAAATAGCGTCTTAGTATATAAAAGTTCATCACTTTTTTTCATTAAAAAGCCTGACTAACCTCTATAACATACTATGTAAAATTATACCCCTGTGCAAATGTTTGCCGCTACAGATAAACTTCCCACTGTCAAGGGACTGCTTGAACTAAAAATAATCATAACTGTTCCAAAATAATGACCCAGTATTTTCCAGTACAGTATATCCTTGCTTCAGAAATGTTACCTATGTTTTTCTAATAATGCATTAACAATAATTTTCCATTAGCATTGTCTTATTTAATATTATTAAACTTTAGAGAGAGTATTAATGAGGATGCTGGAGCTGGTTAAATGTCGATTTTGAAGATTTTCTACATATAAAATTCTATAATTTAAAGCAATACCTCATTCATGTATAAATATATATATGTAACTGTATGACAAACCTGCTTTATATCAGTCTTTCATTACTGTAGAGAAAGAGGACTAAGTTGTGTAAGAACAATTATGGTGAATACAGTGTGCTCATTAAAAACAGCAGTTGTAATAGCATTATAATAAAAATACTTTTTATTGATGCAAAATTCTGGAACAAATTTTACAACTAAAGAAATCAGCTAACATTACTAATCCTATTTACATAAAGTTGAATGACTTGGACCTTGCTATGTCTACAAGCTTAGAATTAATTCATTCTTTCAAATATGCACTTTCAAAAATGTATGACATCTCATTTGCCTATCTGAGTATTGGAAAGATGTCCAGTCTTCAGCGGAGGAAGCTTATTTTAAATCAGGATTTCTTCACCTGTGCAAACTTAGTCCCAAGATCACATCACAAAGTCCAATTTGTCAGGTTTAAATGAGATTGGTGGTGTATGTCTAAAACAGATGGCGGGATACAAACTGGCTAGGACAGAAGAGCAGCTGTATTCCAAGTACCACCTATAGTAGCCTTCCTTTTTTGGAAGGATGCTTTTACTGAAGTGTAAACCTGCCTAGGGTGTTTGTGAGAAGGAACAATAGCCTGGAAAGAGAATCAGAGAGTGGAAGCAAGGCTTTTCTTCTTTCTTTTACTTCATACTACAAAACTCTGTTTTCTTCTCTTTTCTTTAAGATTATTGATAGATAAAATGTAATTTCTTGCTGTTACGTCTGTATTGGAACATCCAGATCCTGGCGGATGAGGTTAGTTGTGGTCATCAGCACTGGGAGTGCTAGTTCTACTGGCACTTTTAATTGCCCAGACATGGGTAACTTTGAGGAAGATGGTTAAAATTGAGTTCCGTTTCCATTTTCTATGTGAATATTTATTTGTTTTCAATAACATCTTGAATATTCGCTATTCAGTTGTACTAGGTCATTTATCACTTCCTTTTCTGTTTAGAGATGTGCTTTCTGAAACTAGTACTCTTTCATTAAGAAATTGGTTGCAAAATATAAATATTTGATGCCTGTAGTTTTTACTTTAGTTCCTTTTTGAATGAATTCGTATGTTTTTTATTTCCTTTTTAAAATATCAAGGCAATATGCTAAGATTTTTTCTTATCCTTTCTTCTTAAAAGGTGTTAATAGTGCTGTGGTCACTAGTATCTTGTGGCTCAACTACATCTACTTCATGAACCAAATCTTGGTTTTATTTGGGTTTCAGCATAGAGGCGTTTCTCTTCTTATGTATTTTAAAAGCAGGAACCAGCTGTTTTATATGTTGCCAAATTTTGTCCTGTAAATTTATTCTGTTAAGACAATAGATGAATGTTTTTATTTCATCTCTTTATATTTGAGTTGCTTCTTTCTCTAAGCATTGTGCATTCTTTACTGCTTTTGATAGTGAATCTGGTATTACTGCCGTATACACTAGGCATATATTTCTGTATCTTGAGACTGAATTCAACTGTCATCTCCCTTGTTCAGAATTTATATTTGGGCAGTTAGCATTAAACGTAGCTACAGTACTTAATTATTACTTTAACTTGTTTTGGTTTTTTTTTTTCTGTACAAGATATAGATAGTGACATTACTAATCAAGGATTTTGTCATTCGGTTGGTTTTATAATTGTGTTCTTTTCTATTTCAGGCACATATTTCACTTTCCTTTTAAGCCTGAGATTTTTTTTTACAGATTTTTTTATTTATACTTAATGGGTTATGCATTTACGTTAGTGATGATTGCTGATGATATGTTACCTTTCAGTAATAAAAAATAAAAATGATTTTAAATAATAAATAAAAAGAGTGTAGTGTATCTTAAATATAAATGTTGATAATTATGCATTCGCCATTCTGTAAAGGAATCTTCTTTTCTTTTTCAATTTCATAAGTGAAAAATCTAAACACAGTTAAACAACAATAATAAACATGTTTAGGTTTGTTAAATTACTGTACTTTACATTGTTTAGCTGTTATCTTGTTTTCCTAACTATCCTTTCAAGTTCTTGTAGCTTTTTCAGAGAGAAATTCTTAGAATTACTAGGGCCTTTGTAGACTAGCATAAGTGACATGACCTGAGAATGTAATCTGTACAAGATAACATAGTTGAAAAAATAACTGCTTTTAAAAGTATTTTAGCTCTTCCTGTGCAAAAGTTAGATCAAATATAATGCATTATTGTTATGTAGTATCATATTGGTGAACCTGTTACATGTGTACTTCTACCTTTTTCATAAATAGCTGTAAATCCTGAATTCCTGATTTATTCTTTATACATTCTCACAGGTCCTTACTAAGGAATTTTATAGTCTTCAGTCTTCTAGTGAAACACGCATTATTGAACTTCAAACACAGAATTCTGAGTTTCAGGCAAGGCTAGATACTTACGAAAAACTTGAAAAAGAGCTTGATGAGATAATAATTCAAACAGCAGAAAGTAAGTTCTGACCCAATTTATATTGTACTTTTTGGTGTTTCTGACATTCTGAAAGGATGTGTTATTCCTAATGGAACTTGGAACGTATCACAGTGTCTGTCATTTTCCATCTTGCTGCCCAATAATTAAGATGTAGTCGTTAAAGGTTCTGATAGAAAATATTGATGACGTATTTCTGAAATTATTTTTAAAATATATCAAGTTAGATGTATGGATATTAAAAATCATCTCACTGTTTCTTTTTCTGCATTTCTCTTTTGTTTCTTCTAACCATTTGTTAAAATTTAGGTATGTGTTTTCAGATTTTCTTATTATATATTTGGAATGCCATGAAGCTTTTGACTGACAAACGATTGCAGGCTTAATATTACAGTAGGCAGAATTAGTAATAAAGTATGAAAAATCATTTTTTCTTGGTTTGAATTAATAATAATTAGATATAAGTAACTTTTTATGACAGATCAGTATGTTCTGGGTATTAAACCATGAATTAAACTCAGATTTGACAGTGTTAAAGTCTTTTTGACTATTCTTGAAAATGTTTGTCTCTGATTGGCAAAAAAAAGCCAATGTCTGTCCTCAAACATCAAAATTCCTGTGAAATCATTTTTCTTTAGAGAATTCTATTGATTATATTTGTATCCTAAATGAATCCACAAAGCAAATCCCCTCTAATTAGAAACTAAAACTCTAATCTTGAAGTCTTTTAGGCTGCATGTAAACAGCGTAGGTTTTTTTAAGATTTCAAACAAATTCATGTCATCTCCTTGTCCTTCCCTCTTTCTTTCCTCCTCCAGAAAAATGACAGTTTATAAATAACATTTTTCAGGTGCAGTAGAAGAATGTTGTATGTAAATGGTGGTGTATAGCAGAGTATGTGATTACAGTGATGCCTGGATAACTTCAGTAACTAGGCTGTAGATATTTTATTAATTTAATAGACTCCAGCTTGTAGTCATTAGGATGGCATGACCACCCAAATGTTCCAGTATGGCCATAAGTATGTTTGCTATATACATAGTTATATTTTAGTCAGTAACATGATTTTTGAAATATATGTGTTATCATGCCTAAGGAGTATTCATGTATTAATTCAGAATTTTTGGATGTTGTCATCATTTTTTTCTAAGGAGAAAATCAAGTTCAGAATGCTATTTTTTGTTTACACAGGCTTACATTTTTTCATGCATCTGGTGATGTCAGTAATGATTTTTTGCTTACAGAACTAAATTATTCTTAACTTCCTGCTAAATAGTGTAAAGTATTTTATTTACAACTTCTCTTGTGTGCTACAAATATCACTGAAAGAAATGAAAGCTTGCAAATGATCTCTGGACTGTAAAAATATGACTGTTCCTCTCTAAGTTCTGTTGGAGAAAAGAGGGGAGTTATAGTACAATATTATTTCAATATACTTTCTATTTAATAACTCACATTGTTTTTCCTTTACGATTATTACAGAGTCTTTGACAGTAAAAGTTAGGACTAAGACTAATTAAGGCTGAATTCCAGTTGAATTATGTTAAAACTGAAAGCCAAGCTCTTGCCAGTTGCTTTTAGCTTTCTTCAGAAGAAACCTTTTACTGAAATATTCTATGTTTCTTCTTATCATTAAAAGGTGAACTTCTTCGGAAAACCAGAATAAATGCAAACTTTTCTTTTTAAAAAATATTTGAAGGAGCATAATGACGTACTTCCTCCTATGTCCCAAATTAAGTCTTGTCATTTACATATCTTGAATAGCTAAAGATTTAAAAGTATCAGAAAAGAAGGAAATATGTTCCTTATTTTTCACATTTATCGTCCTTTAGAGATACTCCAATCTACCTTTCAGAGAACGTAATTCACAACGAGCATTTTCTGTGGACTTCAGTGAGAATAAGATTTTAATCTTCAGTCCTGGGGCTATTTCTTTACATTTCAGTGTTATGTCATATTTTTTAATTCTTCTTGAGTTATGATGCCTTTGCTATTTTACACTACTTGGGACTGCTATGACATTGAGTTTTCTGGACTTTTTAATAAACTATATATTTGCACATGTTAAATGGCTTTTGTCATATAATCATGTAAGCTTTTATTTTCCTCATTTCGGGAAATGTGCATGTGGAAGATATCACTGAATTGTGACTTTTAGTCCCTCGTCATTATGCCTCATTTTTTAATATTGAAATAACGTGAAACAGCCTATTCAGGAATCTGTCAAGAATTTATGTAGCCACTCCTTACAGCATCTGAGTGGTTTCCACATGAGATGAATAGCAACAGTTAACTTTTCTTCCTTTTCAGGAAGTAAATCTTTCAGAAATAAAATCTTCACTGTAGGGTATTTTTCTTGCAGAATGGTTGATTTATTGCTTTCTAATGGTTGATATCTTTTCCAAAAAAAAAGGGAGGGTGAACCTATCTGTTTTCTCACAATGGCGCTTTTTGCTAAGTAGTGTAAAAATAGGAGGTAAGCAGACTCTCCCCTAACTTGTGAGATATTATACACAACAAAGACTGGAGAAGACCACCATGAGAAGACAAAAAAGAAAATAAAACAAGCACATACTGGTACAAATATTACATTGGCTTGATATCTACAGCATATACAGTTTTTTTCCTCCTTGTCTTCAAGTTCAGACACTTAAATGGATACTTCTGTCAGATATGAATTTATAGTGTAGGAAATTATTGACACTTTTCTGAGAAATACAGCACTGAAGTTGTAACCCAAAAGAAGGATTAGGACAGAGGTAGCTTAAGTAGTTTTTATGTTCTTCTGAACCTGCGGTATGTCAGGAGCTGGAGAATTCCCTGTCATAACTAAGACAGCCTTGAAAATCTGAATTTCTGAAAACTTAATCTGTCCTACTCACTGGAAATTCTATGTTGTTTTTTGTGTAACTGGACAAATGACTATCACAGGAGCTCTGCTAGAGACTTTTCTCTTCATAAATGTATTTTAAGAATCCCTTTTTAAAGTAGCATTAAAACATTAAAAGGGTAGCAGAGAAGTGAGGAAATCAGTCATACAGTTTTGTCGGTTGTTGTGAGGAGAACATATTTTTTATTTCAAGCAATTGAACAATAGGAAAGAAAATCAGTCAGATAAGACTTTCACATCATTTCTTAAATTTCTTCGACTTATTCTCAACTGCCTGCCTCACCAAAACTGTTAGGTGATGCCTGGGCTGGTGTTCACTTGTGTTCTTTCTCTCAGCCCCTCTCTGGCTAGGATTTACACAGTGATATAATGCTATTTTTGTTCTGTTTGATATGTGATTAGCTAAGGTTTTACATGTTATTAAAAAAAGGCATTTCTGACGAGTGTTGCAAAGTGTGTTGCAGTCATGAACTGAAATATTAAAATCTGTATGCTTGTTAATCTTGCTGCCATTCAAATGTAGTTTGAATCCTCAGAAATGTTTTCAGAAATCAGTTATCTATGTAAGAAGAAATTATTTTGCGTATTTTTATTTTGCTTAAGAATTAGTGTTTAACTTCTGTCTTCACATATACATTATACGATATTAATTTTCATAAGATGTAGATAATTGGTTAGATCTGCTTTTTTCAGATGAGATACTCTTGCCAATAAATATTTAGATCTGTACAGAGTTGTTCAGCTTAGAATATTTAATTATACGGTAGCATATTGTCTCATAAGGTCTACTGTTGGAGGAAAACTATTTTTCATTTTGTATTATAAATGACAAGAAAAAGGCCAGTGGTTAATATTAAGTAATCAGCTATTTTATTTGAATTTTCATGATGGTTTTCTGTTAATATTAGAGGCTTCCAAATTGTTGTAAAAGTGTTGTTAGGGGTATGCAAGTGACAAAAGATCAGTCAGCTTTTTCCAAATGGTGGCAAAAGTGGAACCATCCCGCAGTTTGCTTCTGTGGAGGTGCTAATTTGAGTTATGGGAAAATCACCTCTGCACAGACAGTTGCTATTTGATCAGGCATAATTGGAAGCTCTGCAGAGCAGCAGTTTGCTGACTCCAAACTACGTTTCTAGTTCAGGATGTGGAAATAGGAGGATGTAGGAAGCGTGGGACTGATGAGGTGGCAACATGAGGTGGGCCTACTGTTCACTTACCCAGTCACGTGTTTCGCTGTAAGGGTACTATGAGAGAATGTGTCAAAGGTCTTACCTTGACACTAGCCAAAGGTTACAACTCCTACTGCTCGCTCCTTACCCACACAGCCACTCATCTCATCACAGAAAGTTATCTAGTTAGACATAATTGCCCTTCCTGGCTGTTCCCAACCACCTTCTTGTCCTTGCTTGGATGGAGATTTGCTTCATAACTTTCGCAGAGACTAAAATGAGGTTGATCAGTCTGTAGACTGATTCCCCAGATTCTCCTTCCTGCCCATCTTTGAAGATGGGTGTGGTATTTGCCTTCCTCATATTATCAGAAACTTCTTGTGATTGCCACAGTCTTTCAAAGTGGATGGAAAGCAGTCTCCCAGTGACATCAACCAGCTCTTTCAGTAACCTCAATGCATCCCATCCCATGCCGTCCCATCCCATGACTCATATATAAGTCCAGTTCAGTACGTGACTGTACGTAGTCCAGTTGACTTAAATACTCTCTAACTTCATCTTCCTCCCCTTCCTTATGAATGCACGGACTAAACTGTTTGGGAAAAAAATAAATAAGCTAACCCTGTATTGCTGAATTAATCTTACACTGTTAGCATATATTTTGTGACCATCTCAGTAGTATAAGTGTTAAAGGACACTGAAGTCTTTTCCTTTACTTCCACAATTCATAAGTCTTATGTTTATTGGAAAAATAAAAAGTGAAAAGCCTACCAGTGTCGTAAGAAATAAGTACATAGCACTGCATTACTGCTAATTGTGAAAGTACTTGTTCCATTGCACTGCAGAAGGTTATGGCGGTTTACACCAATTGCAAATCTGGCTTCCAGGAAAATGTTTATGCACATGTAGAATTATAAATAGAATTACTTAGACATTTGTAAGTTCTTGCATGCTACTTATATTCTTCAAAGGACATCTTATTAACAGCACCTTTCTGGAATTTCTTGCAGTGGAAAATGAAGCTGAAGCTGAAAAGGTTCTCTTTTCGTATGGGTATGGTGCCAATGTTCCTACAACAGCCAAAAGACGACTAAAGCAAAGGTGAAAAGTGCCTCTGTATTTACTTGTTGAAGATAAAGTAAATGAAGATGCGTGTTTCTTTAGTCTTAGAAACTAACCAATTTGGTTAGCATAGAAGTTTTTAATAACTAGTAAATACAAAGAAGTAAGATAAAGAATAGGACCTGTTTATGTGTGATAGGTATAAATGTGCATATAGATATTTTTCTAGCTTATTTTAAGGTCTTCTTTCCTCGTCTTTCAGAAACGTGAATTTTAATTATATAAAAATCAAACAGGTATGAAAACAGACTAGTTGCATTATTTAAATTTATATAATCAGAAAACAAGTTCTTAAATAGCCTGAAAATGACTGTAGTTAATTGTAACAAACTCAAAAACAGAACTGTAAGGAAATTAAGAAGCTTAAGGTTTCTTCAGTTTACGTTGATACAATGTAATGAATAGATAAAAATTGATGGGTAGGCTGAACAGCATAGCTGTTGATCAGACCCAGTCATTTTTAAAGAATAAATTAATACTATACCCTGTCTTTAAGAAATAATATCGACAGGTGAATGGCTCAATGTGATCTTAGTGACTACAACTCAGTGTGAAGGATAGGGAATGTGGATTTTTTTTTTACAAAGTTTTTTATCATTTATAATATTTTTAAACTATAAGCAGAGAAAAAAAATCAATTGTTCAAAATATGTATATATTGTGTAAGAAGGAAACACAACTTAAGCCTGGCCATATCATGTAATCATAGGATAATTTAGGTTGAAAGGGTCAAATGGAGGTCATGTAGTTTGACATCCTGCTCAAAGCAGGCCCGGGATCAGGTTGTTCAGGAGCTTGTCCAGTTGAGTTGTGATTATCTCTAAGGATGGCATTTCCATATCCTCCATGATATCAAGTCAAAGCAAAGATTGTGGCCCAGAATCCTGACTCTAACCAGGCAGAGTAGACACTATGAATAGGAAGGTCATTATCTCAGAATTAGGCTCATTCTGTATATTGTGAGTGTGCTGACCCCTACAGTTTGACCAATTGCAGGAAAATCAACTGTGTAATTCATGGTAGTGGTAACTTTGAACTTCACCTCTAACTGAAAAAAACCACCACCAACAACAACAACAAAGCAAAACAAAAAGCCATCATCTTTGATGGACACATAAAGAACAGTGTAAAGGCAGGGCAGGCATGTAGCACTACTTTGCAGGATACATTCCTAGTATTTAGATATTAGTGCTTCAGAAATTGGAAGTGCAATTTTCATTACTTATAGCTAATTTTTTCTAGAAACATTTGTTTGGGTTTTTTGGCACTCTCCCCCTCTGCTTTCTTCATTTAAAAAAAAAAAAGTGAATATCCTTTAGAACAGTAAGGTACAGACAAGATTTATCAAATGACACCCTGTTCATGCTGAAAAAAGATATTTAGGAGACCACATACTGTTTCTTCTATCCTTTATATTTATTTTTTAAGGTAAGTCGTGTCAATAGGATTGTCATGTAAATTAATCTTAACCATACACAAAGTTACATCTTGCTGCTAGAGGTGATAAAGATTCTATGTAGTGCTTAAGTATGACAATCTTAATTTGCGATTCACATTTGTATTCCTCTTCAGATTATTCCTTACAAGATATCTTTCTCTGTATAAAATTGCAAAAAATAAGGCCAAAAACTCAGCAAGGCTGTTATACGTCTATTTTCAGAGACTATTGAGAATTCTCTAGCATCGTTTCCTAAAACTTCAGTTTCTTCCTCCTGTGTCAGTAGTTCAGAAACTTGTCTGAATTTCAGCATAGATCCTTTTTTTCCCTATCTTATTCATTTCAGTTTAGATTAAATAATCTATGTATAGATTTTGCTAGATGCTGACCTTTGAATGGTGAATTTGATGATCAGTATGCCAGGATTACAAATATGCCTGGAAGACTCTTTCTGAGCTTAGGAGCAGCTGTATCAGAATGCCTCTCTTTTGTTCCAAAAGGCATAGGCAGATAAAAACTGATCTGATCCTTCATTATGATATTGGAGGTTTCATAGACCTTCTGTAGGCTTTACCAATTAAGGCAATTTCAAAAAGTAATACAAATCTGCATAGGCTTTACCTCCCGCTATTCTGACTCAAGGAAAACTGCCATGCAGAAAAACAGTGTGAAGCCTTCAACTTCTAAGCTTTAAAGTAAAGTCTCCTTGAAACCGACTTCTGTGTTTAGAGCTGTTAAAGAAATAAAGATAAATGCTCCATTCTCTGGGGATGGTTAAGGAAGAAGAATTTATTACAAATGTGGATAATATTTTTCTTGAAGTCCACTACCTGCTCTTTAGTTCCAGACTTTTGGTATCCGAAATGAAGAACTCTAGCAAGTTGTCAGCATGCATTTCAATGTCTAATTAAAACCTTATGGTAAACCACCCACTAAGGCATAGTGCGTGATAGGGTCTACACCTGTTCGCCTACTTGCCAGAAAGAAATATTTTGTGACTTTGGATATAAAGGCCATGCCCATACTAGTAAATTATACATGGCTGGGAAGATTCTCAAGCACTGAGACCAAATGACGTGTAGCAGTACACTTCCGTACTATTGAACTCTCAGTATATGTTAGCTGCATGTAAACTACGAATTGGCAGTGGTTACTGGTCGATGCTGTCTCCTCAGCTATGTTTGGGAACTGTTTGGAGGAGCGTTAATTGCAAGTGCCACGATGCTGCTGGGGACACGAATGGTCTGATAACTATAAATGATCACAGTCTTGAGCACTGCATAGTTTTCTAGGATGGATGTAACCATAGTTTTCCAGAATGAGCTGTTTTTGTAGATCACTCCCGTTCTTCCTTTGCTTATTCTAAGTTTAAGCTGGTCAAAAAACATAATGACAAGCATACTTGGAATAGGTACTTGTGATTAGCATTAAATACTTGCAAATTCAGGTCAGGTTCACTAAATAGTTTTAACTGGAAAAATTATGATGGGCTGCATTCTCAAAGTTGACATGGTAAAGTATCACTGTGTACCCTAGTCTCCAATAGCTAATGAATAAGAGCCCTCATCTGAGATACTGGAGAAGTGGTTCATTTCTCTGTTCCTCCAGATGCAATCATAACACACATCTCCTGTCTCCTAAATAAAAATCCTAACCACTGGTCTGGAGAATTAAGTTTCTCTTTTTCTCAGTTAATATTTTCACAAAGTTTGAAGTTCTTTATAAGAGGAACTGGGAGAGAGTAGCCTCAGATTACTCTTTGTCCAACTGTGAAAATTATATGTAGAAAGGAAAGTGGCTGTTGGTGTTCCCTGCTAAGCTCATTTCAGATACAGAGTTGCACATCTCTCCATTTTTTTTCCATAAATCAACTTCTTCACTCCTCCTCTCAAGCTTCCTCTAAAATGATGTTCAGAATCTCTTCAATCTCTTGAGCCTCTAGACATTTTAATGCTCTATTTCCTTTTCAGAATATCCCCTTGATATCCAGTGGTCTTCCTTGTACTTAACGTAAATTGAAGATATATTCTGACTCTTCTGGAATCTCTATTACCTCTTAGTGAGTGTAATTGAGAATGTCAGGTCATTCCTGCCATACAAAATGAAAGTAAAAGATTGTATGTATGAAAGGGTAGGTTTACATAGCGTGACACAGGTGAAGAGTGTTAAAACTGCCCAACCTAATAGCGTATTCTGTGTTATTGAGGAGAAGGTGGTGGTTATGACTGGTCAAATTTTCAGTAAAAATATATGTAGTCAAGTAGCTCTACATATTCTAAGCCTCAGCTTAATAGTAAATAAAGCTCAGTGTCATTCCCCTTTAGACAACTTAATGCTCTTACAGATTCAATATCAAGGCCAGGAACTGGATAACACTTCACTATCCATTATTTGGAGACTCACAGTCCTACATTTTCAGTTTATGCATGGGCTGAGAGTCTTAAGATCCGAACTGGAGCGAATCCTCACTTGTTTACATAAATTTTTGAAAATTGTTGCACATTTGGGTAGAGTCTATGTCTAGAACTTGTAGTTCAGTGGTAGAATACACTAAAAGGGGGCGCGTATTAGCCCCATACATCTTAATTTTAGAGCTTTGAATTTCCCATGTTATACTTTTATAATAGATTGATGGCTAGAATGACTAAACACAGAAGGGGATGGTCATATCTTCTCTAGATATGTTTTTCATTGAAAGTTGCCAGGCTGCTGAATCCTACAAAGGTGGCAGGAGTCATTACAAGATTAAGATACATAAATTTAGACACTAGTTTAACACTAGACATCTAACTACCCCTTACAATCAGTGTAGATCTAATCAATACAGTCAATGAAGCATGGAGTGTGTTTCCAGCCTGCCAGCGAGGAGTCCGTTTTAGAGAAAGCTATTCAGGCTCTACTGACTGTGTTGAGTAGGACTATGCTGATTACAGTAACAGCTTAGGTCCGACAGCTGTATTAGATATAAGAGCCTAGATTTAGGCTCTTCAATTGCAAACTGAATCTTCCCATAGCCAGCTATGGAAGTGAATTGATGGTAAACTTTGATTTTGGACATGAAACGTTAGATTTTGGGTTGTATATGAAACATGTGAGAGACTGAGGATCTTTTATTTAATTTTATTATAATTTTTTTGACCAGAGTGTTTCGGTAGCGTCAGAAAAGACAATTTTGTCTCTGTTTGGAAGATGATTAAGTATTACCTTACATGTTCTTCCAGAAAATGTACATTAATGTCAGTTAATGCATATTTTTAAAAATGATTTAAGGGGAGGCTGTTTATAATGGTTCTCTAAAGTTATTAGAAATAAAGTAAATACCCATATAACCACTTGAAACATTTTAATATGATTACTGACACTGTGTAATATTGTGCAAATGATATAGGTAATTACTTTGTGAAAAAAAAATACTACAATGGCATAACTGTGGGAATGTTATTACAGTGCTGTTAAATTTGTAATATTTTAGTTGTTCTTACAACTTTAACCATTCTGCATGGTTTTACTGCATAGTTTATGCATTAATATTTAAACATTAGTGAAAAATTAAGGCAATCAAATTCTGAAGTATAAAAATGAGAATTTGCTTTGCGTATTTTGTAAGAAATTAAACTTGAGCTTGCTTTTTATTGGCACAGTGTTCACTTGGCAAGAAGATTACTGCAGCTAGAAAAGCAAAACTCACTGCTTGTAAAAGATCTGGAACATCAGAAGGAACAAGTAACACAGATTTCACAAGAGGTAAGTTACTGCCACAAAAAATCAAATCTCTAGAGACTGTAAATACTGTAGAGCAGCTGTTCATAAAATGAAATATTTTCTAAACAGTGTTTACTACATATCTGATGTCACAAAATGGCCTCAGAATTAACCAAAACTTCAATATAAAGTTTTTCAAATAAATTTATATTGTATTTTGAAATAAAGATCAAAAGTGGGATTATTTTACCAACTAAACAAGAATTTAGGCTAGACAAAATTCTGATTTCTGAACAGAATACCAGCCAGCCAAGCTAGTTTGTTCTGTCTGATAATTAATTGTTCAATGAACACTTCATTACCTTTTATACAGCTGTGGTCTTGAATCACTTTTGATATGTTTCTGTAAATGCTTTTCTACATTGTTCAGCTCTTGTCTTTTGAATGTGCAAGTCTAGGGAATTTGTAATATAAACTGCTGGAAAATTATTTTTCTAACTATATCATAGCAAGTTTAATTTCATGATTATTTTTAAGTTTATATGCAAAAGCTGAAAACACATCCTGTGTTCACATGGAGAATAGTTGCTAAACAAGAATCAGTTTGAAAGCCCCCAGAATTAAGTTGACATAAGTTTTGGAAATATTTTTGATATTTTCCTTCAAGTATCTCTTATGAACTGAAGAACTTCTAGGTTTGCTGTTAGATGTTGCCACCATAACGCATTTCTAGGATGAATGAAGCTAGCAGTTTGGTTTTAAAGCTGTGGTAATTAATAACTAGAATAACAACACCAAAGCACTTTACAATGCAAATACTTACATTTTCTGTATGTTTAAAAAAATAGGTGAAAGAATCCATAGTGAAGTTTTTTAGAGAGTTTTTTTAACTAATACTAAAATTTGTTATGGATTCTTCTTACATATATGATAGTAATTAGTATTTGACGAAAACATACCTTTCAAATGTTCATGACGTGAAAGCATCAGGAGATTGATGAATCCAACATTATCCATGGTAGTTATCTGATATCACCATGCTCTTACTGTCACCAGTGAAATGTACACTTTATTTCTCATTTTAATCTGTTTGGTTTCCACTTCCATACATTCCTTCTTACTTGCAGTGGATTTGCATTTTCTTCTGGATCACTGACGAAAGATTTACAGCCAGTGACCTTAGTTCAGCTCCCTGAAAAACTCCACTAGAACATCTTCACCTCACTTCTATTCTACCATGGTCTTGTAGCCTTTTTTTCATTATGTTCGTAGGCACTCTTTTGATCATATAATTGTAGAGTTTAAATCAGAATGTCATACACAATAGTAAGTTAGATGTCTTGCAGATAGCTAACTCACAGCTATCCACTTTAAACTCTTACAAGCTTAAATAAAATTTCTTTAAACGCTGTTTTCTGTTAAATTTTTGTCTAGCATTCAAGTCTGAATGCTTCATCAAATTTTTTTTTTAATTTGCCTATGATTATAGGCCATTTAGTTTGATACCAGTTACCTCAGCCATTCTACTTGCCATTCTTCAATATGTACACAAAAATTTTTCGCTTGTTATTAATGGATTGGAAATACTTCATTCTCCTATTATACAAACTGATCATCTGACTTCTTTTGAAACAGAGGACAAAAATAGTTATTGAAAATTTCTGTGGAAAAATATTTATTGAAAATTTCTGTGGGTTTTTTTCATCATTATATAAAGTTTTATTTTATCTCTGCCATAATGGGTTTTATTTACTCCCATTTGATTTTATTTTAAGAGTTATTTGCCTGCATCAGCATTCCCCATGAAGCTCTAGATTCTCTTGTTAATTTTCTTTATTTCCTATCTTTACTTGCATTGATTTCTATTTTTTGTCTTCCTTTATACATTTGAAGTTCTTAAATTTCTGTTTACTGCCTTTACTGTGTTCAAAATATCTTTTTTTTTTTGATTTTAAGAGCAAAACAGAGATGCTGCAGACTACATCATGCTGAGGTAGCCCATTATCATTCTTTAGACTGATAGTTTGTTCAGTCATCCAAAAGGATGAAAAGGAACATGGCCTATATGACATCCCTGCTGAAATCAAGAATATGGTTTGCAAGTTGCTTAAAAAGTGATTGCACCAACTTTGCGTTTGAATTTGGATTGAATATTGTTAATTTTCTGCAGTACTTCAGACAACGCTCTGTAGAGGCAAAAAAAAAAGAGAGAAAAAAAAAAGGAAAAGTAATTGCAATAACTACAATGGATTCTCTTTCTGAGACCCTTTTTTGGGCTGTCCTCAGCCGATTGCTGCTGAGCCTTATAGAAAGGAATCATGCTGATCTTCTGGGAAAGTTCAGCATTACCAAGAAGAAATTATTGACTTCTACATAATTTTGTTCATCTGGAGGGAGTCTGTGCTTGCTTGAAGGTTGGAACCCTATGGAAAAGCGCAGCTGCTGAAGAAAACTTGTCGGTCTTCAGTTAGTCCTATTAGAGTTTGTTAGGGTTTATGAGACTGTGCAGGATCCTATCCATTCTCTGTGCTGTGAAATGATACTAAAAAAGAATTCTCCATTAAAGTCTGTCCTGTTTATGTACTTTGTTGTATAGCGGTGACTTGCAATGTTAAAGTAGGTATTGGGGATTATTTCTTACTGCAAAAGGGTTGTTTACCATGTGTAGAACAAACAGAATAAAGGAATTCTCATGACCTGAGCCAAGAAGGATTTTCCCTAGTTCATGATAGATTAGTTTACTGCTTCTGCAACTCACTTTGTTAATTGCAGTTTAAGTAAATGGAAGGTTGTATTTCAGCTCCCGCAAGGTAGTGATCTGCAGTTACTACATTTAGTGTCCAAGCTAAATTTGGGGCATAGTTAACTAATTCACTTTGGAGAGGTTTTTAGCAATCATGCCAGAACTGAAGGATGACAGTCTCTTTTGTCAAGAAGGCTAGCATGGTCTTTGAGAGGTTTGACAAGCAAATACTGAGTCAGTATAGGGTAAAAGTTATACCCTAAATTAAAAAAAATGTACTAAGCCTTGCTGCTGAATGACTTCTGTGAGCTTTCTCTATGATGTTAGGTATGTGCTTTTTGTATGCCTCGGTTGAAACGTTTTTATGAAAAACACGCTTACAGGTCACTCTGAGAGAGTATAAATCAAGATGAATAATGAGGAAGTCCTTGAGGTTGATAACAATGTACGTTGAGGCGTAAATAATAAATGTCCAGTTGCAAGTGATTAGATTTATCACTTAAAAAAATGACACAGGAATACTTAAGTCAAGTTGGAGGCCTGTGGCTAGTGGTGTCCTCCAGGGGTCAGTCCTGGGTCCAGTCTTGTTCAATGCATTCATCAATGACCTGGAGGAAGGGACAGAGTGCACCCTCAGCAAGTTTGCTGCCGATACTAAACTGGGAGGAGAGGCTAACACACCAGAAGACTGTGCTGCCCTTCAGAGGGACCTGGACAGGCTGGAGAGGTGGGCGGAGAGGAACCTCCTGAAGTTCAACAAAGGCAAGTGCAAGGTCCTGCACCTAGGCAGGAATAATCCCATGCACCAGT